TAAGACTCCAAAACTATCGTGAAACCACCAAGCTGAGTTTACCTGATTCGTCAGATAGAAAATTTTCTGTCGAAATAATTATTGCACTTTCCCTATGGGATCGATACGCGACAGTATCTAACTGCATTAGGACTTGATGCACGCACTTGCATTATATGACGAACTTGCCTTCCGGTAAGTTTTGACGCGTCTGTTGGGCATATAGTTTCTCTAATCGCAAAATCTCAAAGATTGTCTTCAGGTGTTATAAGTGCTCCTCCTCGGATCTATTGTATACTAAAATATCATCAAAGTACACCATTATGAACTTCCCAATGTGAGCCCGAAACACTTGAATCATCAATCTCATGAATGTGTTGTGTGCATGAGACAATTTGAAAGATATGATTGTCTGCTCATATAATCCATCCTAAATCTTGAAAATAGTCTTCAACTCGTTTACTGGTCTCATCTGAATCTGGTGATATCCATTGTGTAAGTCGAACTTGAAAAAGAAAATGGCTCCACGCAACTTATCCAAGATATCATACAGGCGAGGTATGAGGAACATGCATTTGTTAGTGATTTTATTCATGGCCCGACAATTCATACACAACCTCCACGACCCCCCCTTCTTAAGTACCATCAAGGTGGGGACAACCCTCGCAACGTGATCTGGTAGCTATAATTGTAATTCCTAGTACTCTATAGGTCTCAATCTGTAGGCAGACTTGTTTGGCAACACTAATCCAGAGATAAGATCTATGACATGTTGCATGTTCCTCAATGGTGGCAATCCCTTTGAAAGGTTGACAGTCATCACGTCCTGAAATAGCAGTGATTGTATTGGTTCTCTTATCTCAACCTCCTCAGTTCCATCTAATATGACTAAAGCCATGACCACTGGAGCCTCTCGTAAGATGACTACCATATCCTTTGTGATGTTTACTCCTATTGCGTCTCGGATGTGCAAAAGAACTATGTGTCTTCCTCCGTCCTTAAGCGAATAAATGTTCTTGAATCTGTCGTGTTGGATCTTGCAAACGAACTGTCAAGGCCTTCCTAACAAAATATGGCAAGCGCCCATGGCTAGCACGTAGAACCACACCTGCTCCTACAGTTGATCTCCAATAAAGAACTCAACCAAGCTCTATTGATTCACGCATATCTCGTTTCCTCTTTTCAACCATGTTAGGGAGTAAGGTTGTGGATGTTTCGGTGCGGCCAACCCAGATTCATCATCAGAGTAGATACTGCATTCTCACATCTCCCATCATCAATAAACAGTTGCAGACTTTTCCTTTCATGGTACACTTGGTGCGGAAAATAATGTCTTAGCCATGAATAATCCTTCTCTAACTCACTCTGTAAGACCCTCATGACTAGCATTTCTCTCTCACCTCTCTGGAGTATAAGTTCCTCCTCTTAATCCTCCTTTGCTTCCTCACTCACTTCCTTGACAACAACTTGCTCAATGAATGAAATAACTCGGCTCGTGGAGCACTTGGAGGTTGTCTCTGTAGTTGTGGCACCTAAAGCATCTCCTACAAGCACTATACTGGGCGATATGCTATTTTTAGGTTTCTTTCCGACCATATATGTCTTGTCACTTCCCTGTCCGGTCTTTCCGACTCTTCCAAAAGTACCTTATTGGTAGCGACAATTCTAGGTGGTTGACTGAATGAGGGCAGTTGTCTGCTTTGTCTCTGTTGGTTTTCCACCTTGAAGGTTAAGATCTGGACATCTCCCAAAGACTAATAAAACTGCAATTGCACAATGTTATTGATAGCGGGCTATCGTATGCTCTTCTCGCTCGACCAACTCTAATGGTCAATGTCGTCAATTCCTCCACGGTTAGGCCTCTGCGCTTGTAGGTGATTCAACCTCAGAAACACATCCTGAAGGTAATGAAGGGGTAACTAATTTCCCTGCATCTCCTTCATCATCTTCTCCCATCCAACAATCTTGTCACTTCCTTCTCTCCTTCATTGTCTCTACAAGTTTTTCCACCACAACGAAGCGCTCCTTTTCAATTTAATGACTGCAATTTTTACCCTCGTCTTCAGCCACCTCTTTGTACTCGAATATTCTCTCAACCGATTGTAACCATTCAATGAAATCATTTGGATCCATCCCTCCGTCGAACTCAGACAGATCAACTTTTATTCTGAAATGTCTATGTCCCTCATATGTCACCTCTTCTCTCAGCTTACTCTGATAATGAATTTCAAAGCGTTGTGGTCTGTCCTCCTCATCACTAATGTCCTCTGTATAGAAAGGGTTCAAATTCTCGCCCATTTCTCCTCTTTGACTCTCCCTATCCCGGCCAAAGATAATTTCTCCCTGGGTTCCGTCAACAATCTCTGCAAGCCTTTGCTAGAGTCGACGGATCTCTCGCTGTATCTCGTCCCAGGTAGGTTCCGCCATTTATCTCTTTGGTGGCAAGATTAAGGTTTGGGCTTGCGACAGTGAAAGATGGTATTTAAGGATAGGAAAAAAATTTTTTGAGATCGAGATGTATGAGAAGACTAAAAACCCTAGGAAAAGACAAGGATTAGGCTAACTCTAATACCAAATGATACCGGAGTTAACCCATAACCACAACGGAATAAAAATTTTATTGTTGAAATTCAGCGGGGATTACAAACAAGTTACTTTTGAATAGGAAAACAACACAAACACAAAAGAACCCTTATGACGAGGATCGAAAGTGGTGGGATAAAAAATGGTGGGTTGCGTGGCAAGGTAATGAAAATGGAGAGCTAAAGGTGGTAGGGAGGTTTAACGACAATGAATGAAATGTGGTTTGGTGGTTGGACAACAAGCAAGAGTTGGGTTGGTGAGGCTGGACAACAAGGGTGCGGTGCAGGGGGGCAACAACAACCTGAAAGTAGCTAGGAGGCAACATGCAGGCAAGGGGGAAAAGGGAAGAAAATATGTGAAGGTAATCACCACCTTGGAGTAGGATATAGTCGGAGCACCACCTATTGTCAGATACAGCTCTAGTAAGGGGAAAAAACACTGACGACAAAAAACTGAAGCAAAAACTGACCTAAACACAGCAAATAACATATATATCAACTTAAGGTAAAGAGTATTAGGTTCTGCTCCAAATAGAAGGAAACCATACACAAGGGAGGACCGCTCGATTCTTCTCCCCCTGGATAGAACCGGTCTACGTGCGACGTCTGTCGCTCTCATGCGGGGCCATGGCACCCCAACATCTCGCATCAATAATATTAAAGAAGATTAGTGGCAAAAAGTAAGACACGATCATTTATAATATGATACATGAAATTTTTGCTTATAATGCTAAAATGAATATATATCATATCATAGTTTTTCTAACAGCTATCCTTAAGCATAAGCAATTGTGCGATATAAAAAAATGTCTTTTTCCATGAAAATCTTCATAAAGAAGTATATATAGATCCCACCAACATTCAACAACTCTTTCACAAAAAAAATTTATAAATAAACCCAAAGAGATCGTGATTTGACAAATTTACAAAAACTATGTATGAATGGGGAATAAATAAAGCCAAATTGATCGAATACTCCTCCTTAAACATTCCATTGGCAAAACAATTTTCAATTTTTATTGGGTAAGGAAAAAGATTACTAAAAAAACACGCCGCAAAGTCTGAAATCAAAGAGCTCGACAAGCACAATCACTCAATGGGTATAGAAGTGACCTAATCGAAAAAAAGAATTTAATCTCTCACAAAAAATATCTGATGGATTTTTTTAGAAAAAAACAAAAAAAGTCTGATAACAACCCAGGCAATGTCATAAATGAGACATGATGAATAGAAAATGACATCAGGCAATATCCCATTTGACATCACTTTTGTTGAAACTTGAAAGTCCAACAAATCAATGTATGCTCAAAGTAAAAGAATATCACAATTAACTTGTGAGGTATCAAAATCAAATACCAAAAAAAGAATTATCTATAATAAACATAAAATTTCACAAATTGAAGCTTATGCTAATGCTAACTATGAAATCACAGAAAATAGGAGATCCATTTTTTCAGAATATTGCACGTTAATGAGAAAGAATCAATTTATGCTCAAACTTAAAGAATCTCACAATTAAATTGTTGATCGAGTTCTCAGGTATCTAAAAATCAAATCCTAAAAAAAGGATTCTCTATAATAAACATAAAATTTTAGGATTATCTATAATAAATATAAAATTTCACAAATTGAAGCATATGTAAATACTGAATACGATCACCAAAATAGGAGATGTACATTTTCAAAGTGTTGCACACAATTGGGAAAAATCTAGTAGCATGGAGAAATAAGAAACAGCCTAATGACAAGGTCAAATGCTCAATATGAAATCAAAGCAATCACTTAAGGTATATGTGAACACTTATTCATTAAATTTATATTAAAATAATTATAAATCAAAGGGAAAAGACATAAGAATATAAAGTGACAATAATTCTGTCAATAGCATCGCCCACAATCTAATACAACATGATCGAATCAAACATGCAGAAGTAGATAGGTATTTCATTAAAGGCAAACTAGAGAGTTGATTAATTTGCACTATGTATTTTTCAATAGGATGTCAACTCATCGACTTATTTACCAAAAGGATTTTATAACACTAAGAAAAAAAAATCTCAAACTTGAAACGGTAGATCTCCACTATCCAATTTGAGAGGAGAGAGTTGAAAGTAATAAGAGTACTAAAAAAAGAATAAAATGAGCCACATATTCATTTTCTAATAAAAATAAAACATGCGCCAAAGATTAATGTGTTTGACATGGACAGATTAATTTTTAAATTCATTGTAATTATTTTCTAGATAAATTTGCATATAAATACCTGTTGGGAGAATTAATAAAGCAAGATTTTTAGCCACTTCTTTTCTATATTTTGGACTTTGGTTAAAGAAATAATTAGAGAGAAATAGTCGTTCATAAAGCCCTTAAGAAGAAGACAAAAAAGTTGGACCAAAGCAGAAATCAAATATCAAAAAGAGTCGCATAGAGAAAGCATACCTAGCTTTAAAAAAATGCATTCAAGATTTGGTATCTCTGGTAAGTGCTAAAGAAGTGTCTTAATCACAGCATCATAAAAATTGATCAGAAGTTCGGAAGATGCCCTTTGATTCATCAAATATCCATCTGTAAATTGAAAAAAAATGATAAGAAAATGCAACAAACAAATAAAGGAAATGGCCATCATTATAAAGAAAAAAATCACCAACATCAAAGAAGTTCAGTTGGAACTGAACAATATCTTCTATAGTGATCATCATATTTGAAAAGCATTTCATTCTACAGAAATTTTACATTCATAGCAGCCTCACTTGTCATGGAAATACCTTCAGTTTGTCATATCCCTAGTAACTTAATAGTCTAAGATACAAGTCAATAAGCTAAACCAGATAGTGGGACCTACATAAAAATGATTTTAAATAATGCAGTAAGACACGACCAAAATAGACTAAATAATTATCAAAAGGAAACGCAAACAGAGAAATATTTAAAGAAAGATATCAAGAAGAGAATTACTTGCACATAAAAACTGGATGTAGAACATCATCCTTCTCTGCTAAAAGAATTCTTCTGTCAGTTTCCTCCCTAAATTTGTCTTCAGGTAGAACATCACACAAACCATGAATCGAAGTAGCCAAAATTGTTTTTCTTCTATCTGAAGCATACACCTGCAACGAGAATGCAGCATAGGATAAACAGTACTTTCAAGTAAATGCATTGTGTTAAAAACAAAACGTGTTTAGCAATTGTGGATTGAGAAAGAAATTATAGAAAGTAAACTAAATACCTGAAGCAGATCAAATTCTAAAATAAAAAAATAAAAACATTGCTTCGTTACGGGTTTCTTGAAGGGTCTTTAAGCCTTTCTTTAACAAAGAATGGATATTAAAATTTTATTCCAACGTAGGTTGCATGGATGTTAAAATTTGATCTGCAGCTAGTCAAAATAGTGTAAATTGGTTGTAAATTTACTTTTAACCTTTTAAAGAGCGCAACCAACATTATTCAATGAAAAGATAACTATGTTCAATACAGAAATAATTAAATGAAAATTCAGAGATGAACTTATTTTAGAACATCATAAAAAAATAACGTATATCATAATTTATAAATTGTTTTAAAATATAGAAGATGCATAAAAACTAAGGCTTAAGGTATAAATATGTGATTTTAGGAACAGACAAAACTTGTTCATTAATTAATGGTAATAGTAACCTAATAAGAGGAAATATATATAGAGGAGAATCTGAATGAATAACAATTAATGGGGAATCAAACCGTGATCATCCTACTAAAAGAAAGAATAAAATAATAAAAATTATACCAAATATAGTAGCACAAAATATAATTGATTTACTAATAAAAGTAAAATAAATCAGCTATATCTTAACTAACATCTCAATTTGGTCATACAGATCAATTATGCTCAACTTGTTCACAAGGAATTCAAAAGGAGGGTTAAAACAATCTTTTGCGAGAATATCAATTATCTGTTGTGCGGCGAGAATATCAATTATGTGTTGTGCAGCGAAAATCAAGGACAAGCAAATAGCTCATCAAGCAATCTTCACTTTCATAAAGCCTCAGTCAATCTCCATATCTTTTTTTAATCATGTTGTAGTGAATTTTATACAATGTGATTATTTTATTGTCACAACATAATTCCATTGGCAAAATTTGTCACCATTTAGTTCCTTCAGAAATATTTTCAGCCATAACATCTCAACTGCTCTATATTCATAACTCAATATTTCTCTTAAGCACCGGTTCTTACCACTACTTTGTGTGCTTTGCTTGTTCATGTGACTAAATTTTCTCAAACATACATATAATGTTTTAATGTTGATCTTTGATTGCTAACCAATCAAGAACAATTTGCATCAATATATGCTTAATGTTTTGATGTTTAGTCTTTTGAAAGAACAAACATTTGCCTAGAGTACTTTTAAGGGGTTGTTTGGCTGCAAGTAGGATTTAGTAAATCCGATAAATTCAGATTTAGCAAATCCAAAGGTGTTTAAATCCTGAAAATTTGTTTAGCATGGCAGATGTTGATCAAATCCTAACAAATTGTTTGGCAACTTATTTTATGATTTAAGCTATTGGTTGATATATGAATTTGATATTACATATTAATGATGTAATTATTAAGTCGATGAATATTGATTTAAAATTTTATTTCTAATTATAATAACAAATAATTAATGATTTATTAAACTAACTAATCATTGATATAAATTTATTAAACTAACTATTTTTCAAATAGTATTTTTAATTATTAAGTAATCATTGATTAGTTATTTATTTGATTAATTAATAATTACCAAAAATTTATAAAATTAATTAAATTTTATTATGTAATTTAATTTTCGTTACTTAGTTATCAAATAATTACACAAAGGTTCATTAAATTATAATTAATTTGATAATATATTTATTGATTATTAATCATTAAAAATTAATTAAAACAGAATTATATTAAATCACGAAACATATCTTCTCTTGCCTACAAACCTCACCCATCTTGCATTGCCCTCCCAATTTTAAGGGGAGTAAGTGAGCCAGCCAACTCGAGTTCAGCTTAATAAGTGGCTCATGAGCTGAGCTAACAAGCCAAACTCAAGCCAATTTCGACTCGACTCATTAGCTTGTAAGTTGGCTCGTTTAAGAAAATATTAATATAAAATATATCAAAATATATTAAATTTCAAAACTTTATCTTTAAATTATTAAAAATATTTTTAAATGATATTTTACTTTTTATATCAAATGATTTATTTTTATTTATCACATAATTGTTCATTCTATCTGTAATTTTGTTATAACAATGTCTTAAATTAATATTTTTTCTCTCTTTTATCATAAACAAGTCCGCTCATGAGTCCTCTAACTAGTAGACTTAAGGTAGGAGAGGGTTCGATGGAGATATTACTTGGCATGTGTACAAATTTAAGGCAATGCAAGGGTTACACTTGTCTTATTCTATTAATTCATCCTCCATCTTGAATAAAAAATACAAATGATTACAAGATAGTAATTACCTTGTTCACATTTGTAAGGCCATGATCGTTACAAGATGGCATAATGAGGAGTTATGATCTCCATAACTAATAAACATGATCCGTTGTTCCCAATTTTCAAAAAGTCAGGTGGTTCACTTTCACTTCAGAGATTGTTATGCAAAACTAGGATAGCCCCACATCATGTGATTAGATACAAAATATGAATGAAGTTGTAAAAATATGACAAATATAGTAACAAAAATTTTTTAAAGGACCAAAGAGTTTATATCCTCTCTCATATGAAGTGTAATAACCAAACATATTTTGCAAGGGGTTCAAATTTTCCATAATTATGATAAAGAATGTAAACAAACACAATTCACTTTTAGAGGTGATTTGGACAAAAGCTTATTTCAAGGGTAAGTTCCATGAAATACACATCAAGAGGTGTTTCAAAATTAAGAATTCGATTGAGGGTCCTCTTTATAAGATGCGGCCGTAAAAATTGTTTCCCCCAAAAGGTATGTTGGTATCTTATTAGTAAAAAGTAAAGCCCTCACAAATTTTAATAAATAATTGTATTTTCATTCAACCAGATCATTTTGTTTAAGATAATGATACATAAATTTTGGGGAACAATCCCCTTCTAAAGAAAAAATTTGGCTGAAGCAATTTTTAGAATACTCACAGACATTATCACTCCATAAAATTTGAATGTTTATTTGAAGTTGTGATTGTACCATGGTGTAGAAATCTTTAATGATATTTACACTTAGGATTTTTCTTCCATAGAATAAACATAACACAATCTTATGTGATCATCAAAGAAAGTAACAGACATTCACCATATAGAGTAAATGTCTAATAAGGTCCCAAAATATAATTATGAATCAAGTTAAAATGATTAGTAGGTTTATAAGCTTGTGGAGAATAAGATGCAAGATCTTGTTTGATATATTGACACACTTCATATTTAAAAAAAAAAATCTTTTATTTGATTTTTATTTTGAAATATATTTGGAAAGAGGTATTTTAAACCCTAAAAAATGGTATGGCCTAAACCCATAATGTCATAACATAACATCTCTTTAATTAGAGTAAAAAATTAAGCAAGCATTTTTATATAGTCTAATTTACTTCAAAATAGTAAAGCCCTTCCTATTCTTAGAACGATCTAGTAATCAGTCATTCTCCCCAAATTCAATTCTTCAAGCACAGAATGAGAAAAATAGAAACTAGCTTGATAGTGATGATCAAAGGTGACCTTAAAAATAGATAGGAAATTGCAATACAATTTGAGAACAAGAAAAGTTGACAAATGAGTGATGATAATCTCTATCTCGACAATAACCAAGAGAGAATTACCAAAAAAGTTCGGACTTTTTATTGCAAACTTGGGAACTATAAGTAAAGAAGAATTTAAAGCATCCACTCGTATGATATGTTGCCCCAAAGTAAATTATTCACGAATGAAATTAATTAAAATTGACACTTAAACATGCAATGATTGGAGAATTACTATTCTAACCCAAAGAGGAGATTTCCGTTTGGGGCAGCTTATAAGTGCGGGCGGCGTTTTCAAAACGCAGCCATACCGTTTGGTTCGCGCTTTTCGCCAGCTTATCCGAAACTGCGTTTGAGTTTTTACACTAAACGCAGGCCGGCGGGCCGCGGGCCGACCCCTGCGGCCGGCCCGCGGGCCGCTTTTCAGGATAAGCAGCTTATCCTGAAACGCACAAGCTGTCCCAAACGGAAATGTTCTAAATTTGCGATAAACTTGACCATCACTTTTAAACTTGGGTTCCAATTTACAAGTTTATCATATAATTTTAAGTAGTTATCCTTTCTATCTTATGATTTTTTATTGTGTCAGTACCATGATTTTTTTCAATTCACCTTCAAAGTTGATGCCTTTCCACTGGCTTCTTCACGTCCTACTTCCAAGAAAACCTCTCAAATATAAAGAAGCTTTTTCTACCAAGAAAGTGACCTCATACTTCTTCCAAATTTTAATTAACAATATATAGATCCTATCACTTTCTTCCCTTTTCTAGTGATGTGCGTAGGCTTTAGAGTTTTTGACAAACGGAGGAGATGGACGAGGATATAAATTCATCAATTAATGCTAAAAGGTTAAAATGAAGTACTTCAGGATAATATTATATGATAAAATAATAACATTAAGACTTAAAAGGTAAATTTTATAAACTGCATTGGGCCAAATATATTATATAAATGTAAAGTTGGGTTGTAAAAAAATTATCGTTTGTTAAATTGAGAGTGGAACAAATGAGTGTACTAAAATGGGCGTGTGACAAAATTTGGGAATTAAATAAGGAATTGTTAAATTAAAGGTCCAATCAAAATAACATCTACTAGAACTAAGATAGTTGAAAATAAATTTAAATGATTTGGACATGCTCAATGATGAGTAGAGAAAAACTTAATGGATGGGTAGATAAAATTAAAGTCAAAGGTTAGTATGCACAGACAATGCGCTATAAAGTAATATGAAATATATATTCCATTTAGTACACGATACACATACCACATGCCCCACCATGTATCAGAACTATCATCCACATGTTCAATAATAAAAAAAAATCATAAATACAGGTCCAATATATTTGACAAGCGCATTTATAAATGAAAAAGTTTAAATATAT